GATTATATGGAGCAATAAGTGTCATTCAAGAATGCAGTTTCAGGGTCAACGTGATTACAACTGTGAATTTGTAACAGAAAGACATGTTTATTGAAAAATAGAATAATAGATTATACTGATCCCAGTATTCTTCTGAAAGTTCCAAGGAAGTCTTTCTTTTCATCTCCTATTTGTCGGAATAGGGATTAATTCAAATGAAGGTAAAAATACAACCAGACAAACAAGAACATAACAAGATCAAGCCTGCAATATATTCTGAAACAGCATTCTTCAGAAAGAAATGTTTTGACACAATTCAAGAACACATTTATATTCCAGTAGCTGAAATATTAGTATCAAGCGAGTTCTCGGCACTTGCTTTTGTACGGGGATTTCAAAAGTGTTATAGTCAGTCCTCAATATACTTTTGAAATATATGATAAACGGAAAAGGGCAAGTTGTCCATTTCAGCTTTTATTGACATTGAAATTAAGTCTAAATTAATCTTATGTTTAATTGCCACTTTCCTTTTTGTTTTTTCAAGTAAAGAAAGAGACATCACAGAGCTGAATCCATTAAAGAGATGCCATATACAGGAGGATTTTCTTTCTCGTCAGACAGAAAGGGATATGTTATGAGGCATTTTTAGCATGACTACCTGCATTGAGTTGATAAATATCTCACAAACATCCCATCCCAGAAATCTTTAGATCAGTGACAAAGTGGAATACTCGAAGTATTATTAGAGCAGGCAAAAATAGCACTTTTAAACTGAATGCCCCAAGAGCCATGCCACATCAGTTAAACCATAGAAACCAAACATTCCAGCAGTGATGTTCTCAGTCTGTCCTCTTCCAAAGAAATCTAAGTTACACTAAAATCAACTCTTCTGTGGTTCGCCTCACTTCTCTTCTGACAACTCAGTCTAGATGACCCTCTCTTACTTTCTTATCAAGCTCCAAGAGACAAAGCAACACAGAGCCTTCCTTTTCATTAATTATAAAATAGGTAATACTTGCCATTTGCCAAGAATAAAATTCTCAGAGTCAATATAGGTTAATAATCATATCATTGAATGTAAAGATATTTGATTCACATAATACGAAGGCAATGGTGATTCCATTGTAAGTAGATGAAAACAAGAGCTTGATTTTTGCAAGAGTTGAATATAACGAAATAAAAAGGCACCTTTAGAAGTGTGAAGAAAGATGGTCAAAAGGAACTGCTAAAAGCCAACACACATCAGAAATCATATCAATTGAGAATTTTCCATTTGTTACAACACCTTGACAGCCCTTCCCACCCTTCAAGCAATATTTTTTCAGGTAATGATT